GTTAGATTAGGACCATACAAACAACGACTCATAATACTCTACTAAACTTTCCTCGACTCTATAAAATAATAAATCTAAGAAACAAATATTATTCATAATAAACCATACAATAGAAACCTATCAAACATAGTGAAAATAGAATAAAGTTATCTGTGCCCAGCTGCAAATATTCACGTTAAACCGGCCCATCTGCTACGAGTATAATTCACGTGCGAACATCGTTACTCGCACTGGGGGGGTAATCATTTCAGGTCGCCGCAGGTTTTTAATGTCTATTTTTAGCGTGCAATGCATTCTGTGCAACAGCTGCCGTTCGATGCCTATAATTGATATGCTTTTAAAAAGGAAGTCAGGTGATCTTTTCGATTGAAGATGAAATGTTTCACCATTGTGTCCCCCCTTACTAAGGGTGCCCTAACCTAAAGGATTCCCTTAAACAGACCGTCACCAAAATTAATTTTCACCAAATTACGGGTACCGCTTTAGACTAAAGTCTTAATAAAAAAGGTTCCGCTAACCTAAAGGTGGCCGTTAAGCGGTGGTCAAAACGAAACTAGTATTTAAACTTAGGATGTTTTAATCACTACAGCGTTTATAATCATTTTGATTTACCTCTTATAATACGGTGATAAAATTCACAATATTCTGAGTCGTCATAACTGAACATCCCAGAAAATTAGCCAATTCAGAACAATGGGTAAAATATATTATTAAATTACTAATCGAAACTCGACGTTAACGTCATCGTATTAAAAATAATACAGGTAACTTTTAAAATAAGACGTAATATTATAAGGAAAATCATTTTAAAATATGTCAGTTTGCTGTATCTTCATTTTTCATATTTGCTCTGTTTACTTGCTTTTTGTTTCAGCAAACTTGGATTCGGTTTTCTGTCTATTTCTCTACCTTTAATTAAAACGTATCGTCAATAGATAATATTATCATACATATCTGTTGTTTTAATCGGATCCTAGTTTTGCCTATTGACCCAGGGACTTCGAAGTGGGGCGAGCATTACGTTTCAGATCCTAATACAATTATGATGTACAAAATGTGTTTATATGATTATTTAAATTTTAATGTGTCTGCGTCTATCCCAAAAACTCATACGTGCAAAATTCCAGTTTTGTATTTCACAAAATGTTCAGTGTCTGTTATTCAGTAGTCGAACAACTACCTGTTTATATTATATACAAAGACGTGATGCGTATGTACTCGTTTCTAAACCTATTGCTATGGTTTCTTGTCAGATATGAGGAAATGAGATATAGAGCCTTTTTGCGATCTCGAAAGGAGCCGTTATGTCTTACGTCAAAAGGATATGTCCCCGTAATCCTGCAAAGGGACATCGTTACATTTTTAGTGCTGATGGATTGTACTCTCCGTTGAAGTATGGCGTAAAAATGCGATGGGCAAAACAATACACTTTACTTATCGAAAAACATGAAATGTCACTTAATAGTAAAATCCACTTGTAATTTTGAAATCACAATCCAAATGGGACTGGTTTTTTTATCTATAAAAAATCATGTCTGTTGTTTGGGAGCCCACTTAAATATTTTGTTTATTCTGTTTTGTAGTATATTTTGCTGTAGACAGACAGATAGCCGAACCTTAGTAATAGGGTCCCGTTTTATCCTTTGAGTACGGAATCCTAAAAACACCTGTTTACAACATATTAAAGTCCACTTGAATGAGCGATCAATTCATTTCCTATCTCCCAATCAGAGTGGAAAAAAAAGAAATTTTACTATAGCTTATATAATTTAATAATGCTAAAAGGGTTTCCGTTTTTACTCATTTAAGTAAAATCATATTAAAGACCGGAGTAAGTTAACAAAGGAGATGAAATATGCGAAGGAAAGTGAATTTAGTATTGAGCCCGCGAGCAAACTCTTTATGACGCAATAAATGAATATGCTACCTGAATTATTATTTTTCTTATACAGTAGAATCCGTTTATTATGACTCCGCCTATATTGACCAACCTAAACGGTTGGTCAATATATGACGTAATTACACTACGAAGTTTGGTTTTCATACAAAATTCTTTATAAAAAAGTCGGATATAATGACTTCTCTTAGAGTGACATGTCGCTTATTATGACCCATTTTTAATAAATTATGTCCGGTTATAATGACCGACATGATTCTTTACACCTTCGGTAATGTTCGTTAATTCCCGACGACGTTCGGCACGTGGCTCGTTTTTGTTTTGAATCTCAGTGAGTGCAATTGCAGCAATTGACACTTAAAGGTCACGCATTGTTTTCTGTTTGTCGTTTGTGTTTTTCATTGTACTGTATGTACTGTGAAAAAAAATGTCATCTAAACGCCGTAAAGCAATTACGATTGAGGAGAAAGGTGCAATAATATTCAGACTAGAAAATGGGGAATCAAACTCATCTCTCGCTGCAGAACTATTATCTCGATTTGTTCATAGCAATATTGAAAATGATAATTTGACCATGGCGATGTCTTCTATACACAATAGTATTAGGGACTGTTTTTACTATAAAATGAAAAAACAAAAGCAGACAAAAATTACAGATTACCTACATTAAAAAATATGTATGTACCGCATTACGTGCAATTGTTGTTTTGATTTAATATGTATGTATACATACTATGTTTCTCTATTAAAATACTTAAGAACTCATTAACATAAAAAAGGTTTTTTTTTTTTTCACAAAACGGTTTGTATGACGTCCGCTTATTATGACGTGTTTTTCAATTCCTTTCGATGTCATAATAAACGGATTCTACTGTATTTCCATTTGTATAGTTTGTAAATTATATAAAATCTATAAATGATTAGCCATACTTATAAAAGTAACTCATTTGACAAAACTTTTAGTTTCAATTATAAAACGAAACGCATGGCTCAAGGCATATACCTACATGTTGCATATAAAAGGAAGATTGGAAGCAAAATCGTAATTATTATCTATTGTAACAGATTGATTTTATCATTATGATTACACAATTCACACTTCTGATTATTTTTACTAAATACTAAGCTGGAATACAACGAAAAGTGGAATAATTTCCAGGCATTTATTACCCTATGTACATTATATCCAAAAACTCTCCCGTTAACTCGAACAAAATACATTTGTTCCAAAGTGCACCAATTTTTGAAACAAAGTCATGTACTAACAATCTTCAGTGTTTCTGAAACTAAATACTAAATAAATACGCTTTTGTAAAATAAATATCTCATTCTTTAAAAAACCAAGTAATAATCACACATTAGTTTAAATTTCGACTCAAAAATAAAAAAAGTAAAGAAAAGTAAAGTATCAGCCTATACATGTCCCATTGCTGGACAAAGGTCTCATTTGTACAGAGGGTATGTGGTATGTAGGCCATAGTCGGCCCCACTACGGATTGGCGGACTTCACATATCTTCGAAATATTTTTTTTGTTATTATTTCGAAAATATGCTGGTGTCCTTACGATGTTTTCCTTCACCGCTGAGCAGGTGATAATTCGGCACTTAAAATTAACAATTTCATTGGTGCCGGCACCGGGGATCGAACTCAGGGTGCTCGAGTATATTAAATGAAAGGCGAGCGCCCGGCCTCTGAGCTATCACAGCAAAAATAAAAGCCGTCAACATATTTTACTAAAATGTTGAAGGTTAATTATAATAATTAAATTATTCAACTTGTTAAGATCTATTGATTTCGCACAGATAATAGATTGGACAATAAAAATAAAATAAAAAATAAAAGGCTTTTTTGACAATTTTCTACAATGAGGGCCAATAAGATGATAAGGAAAAGAAAGAATTTTATCCATAAAAAATTGGAAATTGCAATCAAAATTTTGAAGCATTAGTTGCTAAAAATTGGAACTCAGCTATACATGACGAAAACATTTCGCAATTACTGGATTTCAGTGGAACCTGTAGAGGCCGATAGATGACGAAGTTAACAAAAATAATAACAAATATAATTTTACAATAACAGATAAATAATAACTATAACAACATTTGCATATTTCAATAAATAACAATCAATCAGGATCGTTACAGCAGTTTCAATTCCTACGTCTGGTTAGATGTGAATCAGTCACTTTTTAAATTGTATCAATTATTATCAAATCATCGTCACCTGTTACTAGTTTTCTAGTCAAACCAGAAGACAATATTAGGACCATAGCAAATTCACAGTATCGGAACCGCTTTTTACTGTCCACTAATGACAATTCATTACTCCATATGAAGTTTATATAGATTGTAGGTACATACATAAACACTGATCACAAAGATCCTGTTTTAAAAAATAAAAGAATGACAATTTACCCTTGATACATCGTAAGCCCGTATTCAGTCCGCAGCCTTGGCGTAATTGCAAAGAGCCGTAACTCTATTCATACGTCAGAGCTGTCACAGCCCTTTTCGGCGTATTTTGCGTCATTCATACAGTATATCATAATTCAGGTCGAAGAGCTTTGTTTGTCCGGGACGTGCGTAAGACCCTCGTGCGACGGCGAACGCTTTTGTGGGCGCAAATGTCGTGCGAATTGGTTTCGAGATTTCAACATATTTTCATAAGCTTTACGCTGAGCGATTGCAAATATAAGAAATCAGTTCTCATATTCCGGCCTAAAAACTCCTCTTAAGTTTATAGTTCTGTAACATTTCCTTTTATGTTTTTTTTGGCGTTCAATAAGGTATATATAAATAAATAAAAACGAATCTATATAATAGGACATATATGTATGAAAATAAGTATGACATGCTCCAATACACATTAGATCATAAGAATATACACAAAAACGGTTTGTGAAGTTTAGGGTTCGATGCTGGGAACACACAGGTTTATGAGATGCTACGTGCAAAATTTATATTACGACATTTATGGCCACCAAACAGCGAACTCCTCACGTCTTACTAGAGAAACGTAGTGAAAGGTGGATAGTATAGCTATCTCTGTCTAGAAAATATTATCTCTAAAATGGTGAGTCACGTGACATCCTGTCGGTGGCAGGTGATGGTGGAGACGCTTGGGGCGACCGCTTGGTGCGCGGAGATACTCCAGGCTCGAGCGGCGGCTGCCTCGGCCCGCGCTCAGATCGGTGCGGTGGCAGCCCTGGCCGCCGCCACAGACAGGTGCCGCGACCTAGTCGCCGTCACCGACGACCAACAGAGGGTGCTGGTGAGTATACAACACTCACTGAACGTCGTTGCGAACGGCATTCAAGAAATGTTGGTTGCGTAGTACTTTATTCCTTATCGGGCATATATTTGGTAATATACAAAGTTTTATTGTAAAATAACCTTTGAAGAAATAAATAGATAAATAGAAATTCACTGATGTATTGTATCCATACAATCGTTTCACTCGACTGTTATTGAGGTGCTGTTAATATTTACTTGTCGTTTTTATCTGCAGCCAATTAAATATTCATTAATTCTGATAAAATAATCGTTTACATTTTATAACGATTTCCAAATTTTAACCGTGGTAGGGTCACCCAATAGTTTCTGCTGTTGCACGAATGTACAGGCACGTCTGGGGAAGTACCGCGACCTTACAGAACGTGATCGGCCCTCAGGATCAACACATGTAGATGTCCCTGGGCGGCGGTATTCGCTTAACATTAGATGGAATGCTTTACAACTTTTGCATATAAAATAATAATACTTCCATTTATAACAGTTGACCAACAAATCGTGGAGCCGTATGCTCGGCTGGCGCTCGGACGACGGCCCCCGGCCGCTGACGGACACAGTGGGGGGCGAAGCCCTACGGTTGGCATCGACTGGAGCGCGCGACTGGGAGGCTCCGGTCATGCTACGGCGGAGGGCTGCGCCCGACCCAATTCTGTTGCCTTGTCGGGGGGCGTCTGTTGCTCTGGCAAGGTAATCATAGAACTTTAAATAGCCATATACCCGTGTTTAAATAGCAATAATTCAATTCATTAGTGAAATTCACCCTTAAATGTTTAGTGTGGCGGTATTCTTTAAATAAATAAATATTACAGGACACATTTTTACGCAACGCTATCTAGTCGCAAACTAAGTAAAGCTTGTACTATTGGTACCAGGTATCTGATAACATACTTAAACGGGCTTTTGTTAGTAAATAAATACATGGTATAGAATAAACAACCAGATACTAGAAAAACACTATCGCACAATATCGAACCCACACCCGCTGGCGCAAGTGTCAGGGTCACTATCCACTACGCCAATTAGTTCGTCACTTTATTTGGACAATTCATACAGAACCCACAGTAGAAACGAATAAATGCTATGTAACAAATTTGAAAATAGACAAAGAAAGGATAATGAAAAACAGCAAAAAGATAATAGTCCTACTGCCAAAAAACAAATACAAAGAGAACGATCAAAAAGAGAGAAGGCTACAGTAAGCTTACAGCAAAAAGGTTCAGTAAATTTTACCAAAGAATTCATTATTTATATATACCATAACGAAGTGTTGTTAAAACTGGTCTTCATTCAGCATAAAATACAGGAAGCTGTTACCATCCCGGTTTCATTGTATACAGCCATTTTCGTACGCAGTGTTGTAAAACACAGTAATAATAAAAAAAGACAAATAGACAGTTGATTTATAAAAAGCCTAACATTAAATACCATAAAATTAATCAAAAATTATACTGCAACAAAGAGTTGTACAATTTACATGTTTTAATTAGGCACATGCTTACAAGGAAAAAAACATTTATGGAAACACAACTTTGAATTTAAAATTGCCTACATATCTTACAACCTGAAGCGGAGGCAGTAACTTGTTCCGCGTAGCGATGTAATTAAAACTTTTTCTTACGTCTTTAAGGTGTGTCCCGGTGGATCCAGAGAACATTCCGTTAAGTTACCCGTGATCAATCAATTCAGAACCGATTAATTTTTTGATGAAACTTCATAGCCCTTAATAACTGTAAATAGCATTTAGTAACGCGACAAGTGAACTTGTACCACATAGATTAATTTCAAGAATATTGTAGTTGATTATAAAAGGAGTGACTTTTCTATTTGTGCGGTGTATTAAAAAAACGCTCATCTGTTTTCGAACTCGCTTCTTGGCTAATATTAGTGGGCCATCGATAGTGTCAATGTAGATTGGCCTTGAGATCTCGGGAGTATCGCACACGCGACATATTTTGCATTTATCCGTTGCGTGAGATAAGCAGGGCGCAATTTTTTCAATGGTTGCCAAGGCGTCTGCAACAATGCGGTAGATGTCCATATCGGTGATTAATAGCATCAGATGAACCGCGTGCTCGCTTGGCTACCTTTCACATGCAAAAATGACTGAGTTTAACACCCCAGGAGCACATCGCACATCGTGTTCGTATGCGAGTCCAGCACCGACGGGGAGCGGGCTCGTGGCTCCTTACACTCCATCAGGCGGGGCTCTCTGGACGTCCGCTCCGTCGCCTCCGATGGCTTGCGTCGAACTTCCCTTGCCAAGCTGCAGGGCCTGCCGTTAGAAGCGCCCATCACCAAGGTGAGTTCATCGATATAATTTTTTTTAATTCAAAACTAGCCAGCACTTGACTGCCATCCCACCTGATGGTAAGTAGCGATGCACCCGTTGATGGTAAGCTAAGTAACATTAATAAATATTCTAAACTCAAATGTGTAGAAAAAAGTACGAAAAGTCTTTCGCCGCTGTGGGAATCGAACCCACGTCTTCGGGATTCGCGTCCAGACGCTTTAACCAGGCGAAATACTTTTCGTACTTTTTCTACACATTAATGTTTCATCTTAAGTGTAGAGATAAGCACGATAAATATTTAAATATTTTAAAATTGAATGTAAAAAGAACGAGAGGGTCCTGGTTGGAACAAAGTTCCTTTCACTTCGCGTCATGTATTAAATAACGGGTACAGTGAAATAAATAAACGACGTTTGGGGGTAACTAAATAAACGCAATTTGAATTAATGTTTGAAAAAATCTTTTAGCAACTTTTTCAATTAGTTCGTTCCAAAAAATTATAGTGTATTCTTTGAATAAGATATGCATATTCAAAAATGAAACAAAACAAGCAACTTTCTTTTTAAAAATTAGGGAGTTTATTTTGCACACGGGCTTACACATGCGAAACAAACCCTCTCATTTTAGCAGGTAATTTTCATATTCGCTTTTGTTTCTGCAAAAGGTCGTACATAAAAAGTTTGTGTACAGTCAGCCATAGCTGATTATTTCCCATATTTCGCTACTGTAACATGAATTTCTAACCCTGTTTTCACAACTTTTTGAACAAAATGAAAATTATTTTATAAGCTTTCGATTATATTTTGGTTTTAATTTGGAAAATAATCATCAATTCACTTTGTGGACTAATTACTAGTAGTAACTACTACGGATTGGATAGACTGGAAATCAGGCCCGTTTTAAGTTGTATGTACGTGAATTTTCTCAAGATACATTTTCATTGGTTTACCACTGACTTTAATGATTTATTGCATTGATATTTTATTTGAAACTTTATGTGATGCATCTTTTTTAACAAATGTGACCATAATTTCCCCGTTTTCCAACTTTTAACATCACAAACGAAACATTTTTATTAATAAGAGCAAAACCGAAATCAACAATCCCATTCACTATACATTTTCTATACAATTTTGATACATTCTTGATGTATCTCCGGTGTCCAAGGTCGTGTACCAATGAAAATTATATGGGCATATGGGAGCTAAGCCGAACCCAAAAGAAAAAGAAGGGGTAACAAATCATTTAAAAGTTCAACGGAACCTTCTTATTTTCATTGTTCATGTTGAAATGAAAGGATGAACCATTTGCCACAGTCTCTAATATAATTAAAGTCAAGAACTGCAGACGAACTTGTCCACTGTCAGGTGATATCACTGCTGTCTACTGCTACCGAGGGCGCCCCGCCTTCCACCGTCGCTTGCATCGAGCGTGCGGTTGACATGCTGAGGACGTCCGAACTGTACTCACCGCAGATGAAAGAAGACCCAAAGCTCAGGGCCGAGGACCCCATCGCGACAGATCTCATCGGCGCCTTGCTATCGGTGAGTGCAACTACTGATTCGATTTATTGAAAAATGCAACTCATATTTCTCCTGCCTTTATACCACCGCAATGTTGGAGTCGTCACAACAGGAATTATCTTGTCAATAGTATTGACTAGGTTTTTTTTACCGAGACAGTACCGACAACCGACCGCCTGCCGTAAAAAACTGTGAAATACCCAGATCGAAGAACTATTTGTGGGTCACTCAAATACTTTTCCCGTATAGGTATCGGAGGTAACGTCAAAAACAATTCTAAACAACTGTACCACCTAGTCACCTACTCAAAAAGAACAATCCAAAATTGAGCAATGTTATAAATTTTGTTGTAATACTTGCAACACTGTTTAAAACAAATATTTGTTACATATTTAAAACACTAGTTGATAAAATTAATGCATTTATTTATTACTTAAACGACGATATTATATATTCAAATATGTACGTTATATATTTACTTTATATGTATTTATTTAAAAGTGGTGAACCTCATTAAGTAATCATGCTTTTAGTTTTCTATACACGTAACTTTATATAATGTAACTTTACATGTATTTATATATGTATTTTGTATGTAATATATGTGTGATAATATGTCAACTAACTTTCAAATTTATTTGTTTACGATCCTGATGTACCTGGGAAAGCGGGAGCAAGTGAACACAAACTTGTTCTTCATGGTAGGAAGTTTGACATTACAAAGCCTGTATTTGTATGCTCTTCTCGTCTTGCCTGTATCACCTGACAATTAGATAACTTGTTACGAGCCATATGAATACACGTCCGACTCCTTCGGCAGAGTTCATTTTGATCGCATCTCAAAATTAAAACACTGTAACCATTTTGATTCTAATTTTGTACTCACTAAACCAATCAAAATCCAAACTTTTCACAGAGATCTCGAAAAATTATATTGCCATACACATCTTCATTAAACCGAAAACCGAAATAAAATAAAGAAATCAAAATTATGTCTAACAATTTTAATTTCAGGTCTAAAATAATCGTCATAAAAATTTACTCTTAAATTACTTAAACAACTTAAATATCTTAAATAACTTAGCAGTTGAAACATCAATAGATTCTATTATCTAAGTAACATTTATTTTATTTATTATACACAATAATATATCAATACATTTTATACACTTCATCAAAATGGTCTCTGCCGAAGCTGTAACATCCTCTATCAATTGTAGTATAAAATGTATCCTGTCTCTCACTTCTCTATCGTACTTTAATATATTGTTTTTATTTTTTTTTTATTTAACGTTTTCTTCCTCCTTTCCAACCGTATTATTAGTTTCATTAACGCTATCACAAAAGCACTTTAACACAACCGCCACAACATACTACAACGAATCTTAGTGTTAGTAACATCGAATTAACACATGATATTGAAATGGACTTACCTATTGAATGTAACTTTCATAATTCTTAATGTTTAGCAAGGGCCGACCAACGTCTTGTCATCCCGACGAAGCAGCAACGACTCTACCGTCGTCAGGTCCCAAACAAACAGGACCAACATCAAGCACAAGGTGAGGTTTTGTAATATAACATACATAGATATAGAAGTCGTTGGACAATCTACAGTGGTACCGCGTTGTCTTACCCTCCTTATACCTTTATACTCGGTGTTCATGTATTCTTCAAGTTAAGACTTGACTGAGTAGTTGAAGAGAGACGAAGGATGTAAAGATCATAAGGATTGACTATGACAGCGTTCTATGGTAAAAGTTTTTAAAAAAATCTTGATAGAAGATCATACCTATGCCAAAAAAATCGTTTGTGAAAGACGAGAAATCTTGAGGTCGACCTTTTTTAATCGAAAGTTTAATAGAACGAAGATAGAAATAAAGGTTATTTTTATTCGGATTGAAAACTCACTGTATTCTATTCAGTTAACTAAAATAAATATATAAAAAAACATACTGTTCTTCCTTTTAGCAACCACAATCTACGTATTAAATTACTGTTGACTTTCAAAAAATACAAGTTGTTAGATTTAATTGATTCAGACAATTGTGCATTGATTTAACTATTGCTACGCAAATACCGTCAACTTTACTGTGGCAGTGCCATGCAACAGCTTCGACTGTTGCACGAACGGACAGGTCCGTCCGGCTATGTACCACGAGGTCACAGCAGACCGGCGTGAACTGGTAGTGTTATACTTCTGCGTTTCGTCTGGTGAGCGAGGTAGCCGGGGCCCTTTAAAGGTGGCAACGCATCTGCAACTCTCTAAGGGTGTTGCTTACTTAACTGCAGCGCACCTTTAGCTCGTTTGCCACCATCTCACTTGGAAGCATCGTACAACTGAGCGGAAACAATGGCTTTGTAGACATCGGGTCAGCTGCGCGAGCTACTGGACACGGCGCTGAGCTGGGAGTTCGAGATATTCCGCCTCGAGGACTTGACGCGGGGCCGCCCGCTCGCCCACTTGGGGCTGGCCCTGATGGGGGGCCGCTTCGACGTGTGCTCGACCCTCGAGTGCGACGAGCGCACCCTGCTGCACTGGCTCACCGTCATCGAGACCAACTACCACGCCGTCAACACCTACCACAACTCCACCCACGCCGCCGACGTACTCCAGGTGACCATATCCCCACTTGTATACGGTATATACCACGAATATACGGTATATACCACGTATATACCCGGTACTTAAGAAAGGTGGCGGGCAACGGATGGATGCGAGCTGCCCAGGACCGGGACAGTTGGCTTACGTTCAGCAGTGGACGGCAATAGGCTGCTATTGTATTGTATTGTTTATAGCCAATACGGTATCAAACTACAAATGGATAGCGTATAGAACTTTAAAGAATGCAATGTATAAAATGTTGCATTCATTAAAGTTCTATCCACAATCAAACTTGAGTCTACTGCCAATTTATAATCGCAAGTTGTAAATTTATCCATAGAAAAGTGAGACCGTATGGCATGAACGTGTTGCAATTGTTTAGCTGTTTGGATACAATCAATACCAATTGTTATTTCTGATTTATTCTCGGGCTGCCATGATACAAATCAAGAGCAATAGCAAAATCCAATAAAGTTGTTAACAAGGTAAAAAAGAAGTAATTTCTACGTCTTGTATTTTAATAAAAATATCTGCCGGAATCAACGGCGCTATTTACAAATAGAAGAATAGCGTTAAACTGAGTTAATAGCAATAAAAAATACCGATAAATAATAAAATAACGAAAATAAATCCTCCGTGAACGGTTAAAGTTGACTTAAATATCTCTAATTTTTAATTACACATATTTTAGACTTTAGATTTCAAGTTATTTAAGCATGTTTAAGTAACGAGTATGAACTTTCTTTTGTAAGTACTCTACGTTTTTCATTTTGTGAGTAAGTATTCTACGAACTTTCTATTTTAAGTACCCTACGAACTTTCTTTTATAAGTGAATAAATACTCTATGAACTTTCGTTGCACAGGCTGTAGCGTACTTCCTGGAGAAAGACCGTTTGAAGACGCTGCTGGAGCCGTTGGAGGCGGCCGCGGCGCTCATAGCCGCGGCTGCGCACGACATAGACCACCCGGGCACCTCGTCCGCCTTCCTCTGCAACTCGCGCCACCCGCTCGCCATCCTATACAACGACGTCTGCGTCCTGGAGTCCCACCACTCGGCGCTCACATTCAAGCTGACGCTTAGTGAGTACGCGTTGTAAATTAAAATAAAGTAACAGCCTATATATGTCCCACTGCTGTGCAACGGCCTCCACGGTCGCGTCCACCGCGCCATCCCACTGGGGTTTGGCGACTTCACGCGTCTTCATTTTTTTTATTATTTTGAAAATATGCAGTTTTCATCGCGATGTTTTCCTTCACCGCTGAGCACGTGATATGTCAGCACTTAAAATTAACAATTTTAACCGATTGCTCGAGTATGTTGATTTAAAAGCGAGCGCCCGGGCACAGCTATCGTTAGAGTATTAGAAAATATACTGTAGTGAACTAAATTTTTTAATTGGATTAAAACTCGTCGTATTCCGAAAAGCATATGGTCATGGATCAGATATTAATATTTGTGAATTCTTTACGGCTGCCCGATATCAATATTCTGTAGTTTGACATGATAACTAAAGGTGCATCGAAGAATACTCAATTTACAGTTAAACGTTTTCTCAACAAACAAAATCGAACATCCAGTTAGTGGAACATCCATAAGATCTACGGCACCATGTATCTTCCGTCACAGATGACGAACTGAAACAGCGCTGTAGTTTACTAAGTTTTGCACAGCCCAATGTAACCTCCGTCACAGATGACGAACGCGTGAACATTTTCAAGAATCTCGACCGCGAAACATACAAGACGGTCCGTCACAACGTCGTCGACATGATCCTAGCAACGGAGATGACGAAGCACTTCGAGCACCTCGCCAAGTTCGTCAACGTGTTCTACGCCAAGGCCGGTGGCAGCAAAGAAGACGGCATGCAAACCGACGTAAGTATACTGCCATGTACAAATGGGAGGTAGATGTAATACAAGCGCACCGAAACTGCGGCACTCTCTCAATTGGTGTAGTTACATTGCAACTTTATATACTGCTATCTCTTTCCCTATCATGCGTTCTATATCATCTGTCACATTCACTTATATATGTCATGTAATGTAAAGGGGAACAATTTTTAAACGTAGCGCAGTATGGACATGCGTCAACTTTATTATACCATCATTCGGGAAAGTATGTAAGTGGGGAGTAAATGGGGGGGATTAACACTACCTCAAGACTAGGAATGCGAATTTTTTGTTGCACTTCACAACGTTGCAATCAATACGCGTAAGCGACTATTTCAAAAAGTCATATTCATAATTACATATTATGAATCCATGAAAAATTTCCTCCTATTCTTACGTTGGTTACTCGTAATTGGTTTCTTTGGCAATTTTGGTACAAAGTTCTTACCTCGCCATTACATAGAACGCAGGTAAATCAATTATTTGCAACTTACATTACATGTTTTGACAGGAGCCACTGTCGTTAGACACTACAGCGTTGTCTCAGCCGGAGAATGTAATCCTTGTCAAGAGGATGATGATAAAGTGTGCTGATGTGTCCAACGCCTCCAGGCCTCAGAAGTTCGCCTTTGAATGGGCAAGGAGGTAAACTAATATTGCTATTTTTTTACTCTTGAACGCACTTTGCTTGATCAACATTTGCCATTTTTGTAACATTTTATATTTTACTAGCTGTTCCGAGCGATTTCATCAGAAACGCTTCAGAAAAGTTTCTGCTTCACCACCGTAGGTAGGGAAATTGAGCTATCAGATGCAAATAAAATTCAAATCAGACTGGTAGTTCCAGAGATTAACACGTTCAAACAAACAAACTCTTCAGCTTTATTAGTATAGATTTATATTGTTTCGTCACGTGCAAATATTTAGCATCCATTAATTTGAAAAGTTCACAGTTTAAATGAAAGTAACTGATACATTTATAGGCCTATCACTGCTACATATGATCTCTTCAGTGTAAAGTGCAATCGTTGGAAAAGCTAAATAAACCAAACGAAAATTCAAACGATTTCACTGCTTACAGGATCGCTGAGGAGTACTTCCTGCAAACGGACGAAGAGAAGGCTCGCGAGCTGCCAGTGGTTATGCCAATGTTCGACCGCGCCACTTGCTCAGTGCCAAGATCCCAGATCGGCTTTATCGATTACATCATAATCGACATGATGGAGGCCTGGGCAGGTTTGTACAAGACTTGCCGTGTTGCTTTTTACTGTTATTTATAGGACATTACGAATATTTCAATTCCTTGTCACAGAATATATTATTAACTAATATAGAGATTATAAGCATTTCCTGGTGAAGCTTCAAAAAGTTGATAATGATGGTGGTGACTCGATCGCCCAATTGGCTTTGTGGAAAAGGATCTCTGGAAATCTCTGTCTAAATATAATAATAAATAGTTTATCTCTGTCTAAATATCTCGTAAAACCTAACGAGATCTGTTGTTGTCTTCATGTCTCTTTCATCCACATGGCAGAGTAAGTGGCTTTGTGGAAAAGAGACAGCACGCAACTGTTTATCTCTGTCTAAACGTCTCGTGAAACCTAACAGAGATACGTTGTTTTCTCCGTGTAGCGTTCATCGACATGCCGGAGTTAGTGAACCACGCGCGCAACAACCACACCCGCTGGCGCGAGCTCGACGAGGCCGGCGTGAGCTCGATGGCCGACGTGAAACGGGCAATGCGCCAGCAGGCAATACAATCCCCGCCCACTTCCACCTCGCAGCCCACCGCCGAGGAGTGAGCCATCAATGGACGATGCACGCGCGAATCTTCCCACGACACATGAGCCGCCATAATTGTAATTCGGCTCGTCTTGATATTCCTAACTTTGCGCGCCAAAGGACACAAAATCAGCTGACATTCTGTTGGACTATCGAATAAACATGTCACTATCGATAGCCAGACCAATCACTTGAATAGTAAGCTGCTCTGTCTGGAACTTGAAGACGTGCAATCAATTGTATTTCAATGAATATGGTCAGTTTGTCATCATTATTCATGAATTGTTTGCACGCGATACAAATACGCGGGTGGAGTTAGGATTTTTTTAACATGATAATGGTACGCGTTTGGGTATCAACGTAAAAAGTCTGAAATGGATCAGGGACATGAATGTTGCCTAACGGATGTGTCCGAAAATACGCTTATTTTATACTAATTGTAACCGTGTTAGTATAAGTGACATAACAGTTTATGATTGTTGATATCTACTTATTCAAATAGTAATAGTAACTGTTTAATTCCTTGTATCAATGTAACGGTACGATGTGGTTGTATCGGAGGTTGATCGTATTCATGTAGCGCATCCACTCTTCGTAAAGGTTTAAGGGAATTGTGGCAAATGTATAATTACAGATGCCGTGAAAACGGGTAATTTTGTCTAGACGTACTCGTACTTATATATCGTCTTTAGTATCCGTGATAAGAGTGCCATATCGAAAAGTGGGCATACCGAGAGGCTAACTGGCCAGTTGCCAGTCAATTGGCAGCTCGGAACCGCCTCCCGCTGCACTCCATGACAGTATTCCGTACTCACCGAAATTCCATTCAATCGCCGTACCTACAATATCTCTTTTCCTCCCTCCTTTAAAACCGAACAAATTGGTCCACTTGTACACTTGAGCTTTCAGAGAATTCCTATTTTTGTAATGACTTTTATAGTGCCTATTTACTGGCTGCTCCGGCGAGGTCATATCAAAATTACTCGTGACTTCCTAAAGTTTTAGAACCATAATCATCTGAGACAGTGCTACCTTCAGCGTTCACTTCTTTATGTTCCTTTGTGATGTGTATTTATAAACGCTATACACTTAAAATATGATTAAAGCTAATATGTGTATTAAACACTAATTAAGCATCCTAATTACTAATTGCTTCAACACTTGTACCTATTAATAATTTATTGTATCGGGATAAGATATATAACTCGTTGTTAAGGTTGACATTTTATTCATTCGTCTTTATGACGCTGGTATATAAGTAAAATTTATAGTATAGTACATAAAAAAAATTAAAAGAAAACTCAAAAATATGCATACGCTTCTTTGTGCTCAATGTCAAAACATAAACGGTCTAAATAAGTAAAAAAATTGTACTTCAATGTATACTTTTTACTTACTTTCTATTATACATAAATATTACACTATACCTACCAATATATTTGTGTGTTGTAACTTAATTATTAGGTATATAAAATATTTAGGTGGGTGTGTTCAATCTCATATTTATAAAATCTATATTCTTAGTAATCATCAGATACGCACTAACTGTATTAGCTAAGAATGTGATCCAATGTTAAAAATAGCTCAACTCTTTGATCAGTAAGATTTGGAATTATTTAACTTAATTTATTTGATTGTTTAAGCACAAAAACTTTATACAAACCCTTCAATACGGTTGGCAGTGGCCCATTTTTAACTACTTTAAACTTTTTAGATATATATTGTAAAAGCGACGATCATGTTTGAGAAATTTTGAATGTCTCGGGGGCTGGTCCCCATATTTATGTGTGGAGTTATAGGATATGTTGTTATAAATTTTGTACGCGAAAAATATAAAGCGTTATATGAGTATCAAATAATTAATGTTGTCTTAAAACAAAACATTTTCACTTTGTATGAAACTTTCTACGTCTTTTACCATCGCTTTAAGTCTTGGATACTGGTCGGTTTGGAAAGCTTTTATTAGATTTTAATACTTACGTGCTTTTAAAACTGTGTATTTACTATGAAGGTAGAGATAATTATTTTGTCATTGTCACCAGTTTCGTCATAACCTTCTTAAACCTAGATATACACGGTAACAGAGAGGTCCTCCATTTTTCCTTCTGATACCAAACTACATTACCTTAATTAAAATATTATATATATTATCCTAGAGATATATATCAAGAAAATAATAAAAAAGTTAAATTGAAATTAGATAAAAATTACAGGAATTTCTCCAATTGGATACTTTCTTGTATCTACTCTTATTTGTCCGTAAAATTTACGTAATTAATATTAATACTTTTAGCGTAAGTAATATGGCTTTCAGATTTAATTGTTTCTGCGAAATGTACAAGACTTAAAGCGATGAATTTAATAGTATAATCTGTAGTTTTGCATTGAAATATTTTATTAATGTAAGGGTTGTTTATTGCTTAATCTGTAAATTAATAAAACGGGAATCAAAACGATGAATACATAATAATTTTTCGTATCATTTTTATTTTAGCCAACTGTCTATAAACGTTTGTATTATAAATCAATTTGCTTAAAACCTGATTTCTATTTGATTGTTATTTTTCACACTTTTAACTTACCTTCTCCGTGTATAATTTTAAAAATCCTTTAAAATCTATAACATTTTAATATATGTAATTAAAACTATGAAAAAAATTCGCTAATTGTTTTACAATTAAAACAATAAACAACCGAGAAGCATTTTAAATGGATGTCTCTGTTCGAAATATAAACATTTACATTGTTAAGTGTTGTAAATAAAGGAATATATAATAACAACTTAGAATTATTTCGTTCACAGTGACATTCTTCTGTCAATGACCTCTCACCTATCAACCATATAATAGATCGACCTACCTGGATATTATGGGATTGTTCATATAAAATGTATACCCGAAAAGACCAAAACATCATCAGCAACACGTTGGCAAAAAATACATCACTGTATCCTACAATCAAAGTAAATCTTTAATAACTTTAATATATTACTGAAAAATATATAGATAGAATTTTAAGATTTTTATTAATTGAAATAATTCTTAGTCTCCAAAAGTAGCTTACAATTCTTTTTTGAGAAAGTCACAACTCGTTTATAATTGTAGAATACACACTCACTATTGAAATCAAGTGACATCGACTACACAATTAATTGTTTCCGATGTTCCGATTGTTCCGATAATTGTTCCGATGTTAATCCGATGTTTTCTTTTTTTTTTTATGTGAAAAGTTACCAAACGAGCAGACGGTTCACCTGATGGTAAGTGAAAATCGCCGCCCATAGACATCTGCTACACCCGAGGTTACAGATGCGTTGACAACCTTTTGAAAATTAGGCTCCGGCTACCTCACTCACCAGACGAAACGCGAAAGTATTTGTCATACTTCCACTTTACGCTGGTCTTCTGTGAGGTCGTGGTACTTACCCGGACGGGCCTGCCCATTCGTGCAACAGCCGAGGCTGCTGCGTGGCCCTACCACCGATATACGTTACCACAACAATAAAATTGAGAATGAAAGAAATGAATTCTAATTTATAATAAGTACAGAAAAAAATAATATAAAAACTTCCAAAAATATTCCTGGGCTACAGAATTTCGTAACTTGGGATAAAACCTCAACAATATGAAGGTATACCTTTTTTAAATTTATATATGCCTTTTGTGCATCAAATTTACGCAACTCGTTAAAATTATAACTTGAAAACATTGTTACAGTTTAAAAAAGACAAAACAATTAGGTAATCTAATAAATAGAGTGAATTATGCGGACAGGGATCGCGCATTAAAGCCTATTCCAAGAATAAGATTGCGATTCACAAGTACTTTACGAGGGCTATTGGTGAAGCCTCGATAATTCGACCTCGTTTCAGCCTGAGTGCTCTAAAGGCGCCTCAACGTGAGAATTTGTGATCTCCATGGATCTCTTCGGAATAAACAAAAGGTCCAATTCTTTATTACTTAATTGTCTCAAAATAGTCCCTTGAAAAGTCTTATATGAACAGCGTTGATAGTAATGAGAATAATAACGACGAATATTAGAAAGTACAATGTATATGTAATGTTTTAAGTTATAAAGTGTTTTTCGATGTATATTTATGGACATAAGAATTAATATTTAAAAAAAAAAAAAAACAAGTAATGCTTCTCGCCAAGGGAGGTTTCACAAATATGAAATGTCGAATACAAAGAGAACCCCTACTCGGAACAACAAATTATGGAGCACTGTATCGTTTCCGTGTGAAGAACGAACCCACGACACATCGCGTCGTGAAGCAGGTTTTTTTTTAATGTGAAAAGTTGCCAAACGAACAGACGGTTCACGGTTGTAGATGCGTTGAAAACCTTTTTCAAAATTGGCCTCACTTACCAGACGAAACGCGAAAGTATTATACTTCCACTTCACGCCGGTCTCCTGGGAGATCGTGGTACCTATCCGGACGAGCCTGACCATTCGTGCAACGGCCGAGGCTACTGCGTGGCCCTACCACCGTTGTACCCACTGTCCACTTCAAACTCCATCTAAAAAGCAAGAATTTATAAAAGAACGCTTAACGAAGACCTTCCTCTTTCGCAGCAGATACATAACATAGATTTTGAAAACTTACAACCATACTAATCATGTAACAATTTTAAAGGAACTTCAGGAGTTTAGAATTTGCTGCTATAGTTAATAGTTTTGCTATATATATACTTTATCAAATAACTGTCAGGTGTTCCGCAAGGGATCACCCCAGGACATTTTTTCGCAACAAATTCATGATTAGTTTTGAACGTTGCTTAAAACATTTAAACACACTGAAATATGCATATACTATACATAACTCATACTCTTACAGGAATTCAATAGAAATAAAATGAAATGTATACACAAAGAAATAAGTAAGATTATTATATTGGGTAGCTAGTGTGATAATTTCAATCGATAGGCTGTCACACGAATTGGAATATAAATATGACACCTTCGTGCTCAGTCATCGTATTTTCTGTAGTCTTTTCTCTGAAGCAGCTATCACAAA